ATATATATATATATATATATATATATATATATATATATATATATATATATATATAATTTTCCTTTAAATAAGATCTGCTCTCTTCTTCTAATTTTTAATAAAATGTGGCACTCCCGAATTGATACTTGTCCTCAATAAGAAGTTACATTGGGTGCGTTCGCTTTGAACGCTTACGCGCTTTAAGCGCTTATAAATATCGCTCACGTCGTTTAGGCTGCGTTCAGATTCCCCACCCGGGTGTATTCTATTACTAGAAGTGCTATAGTATATGTCACATATATTATAGTGTTTCTAGTAATAGAGTGCACCCAGATGAGGAATCTGAACGCACCCTTACTTTGGCGCTATAAGCGCTTAAAGCGTCTTCTACAATGGCAGTAGGAGTAGTAGTAAGAAATAAGCAGTAAGTAAATAGACTAATCACAATCGATTATTTTTGAAACATGAGAATGGAATTGGTCAATTTGCTTACTGCTTATTTCTTACTACTACTCCTACTGCCATTGTAGAAGACGCTTTAGAAACTGCATATTGACGTCATGCGTGACGTCATAACTCGCGCTTACATTCACTTCTTCTATCGAGGTAGGGCAGTAAAAGCGTGAGCACTTATAAGCGTTTATTTTCCAAAGAGAACGATAAGTTAGATTGCGTCGATGAAATCGACGCAATCTAACCTCCAATATAAACCTTAAAGTGAAATAGTGTTTCAAAATGACTTCCAACGAGAGTAACAAAACCAGAGTAACTCTGCAAGATGTTACAAATAATAAAATGTATACATTTGTTGTTACATCAAATGAGGCAAAACGTGTAAAAACAGGTAAGTTTAGGACACCTCTCATAAAAATTTATTATTTTTGTTATTAAATCATAATATTTATTTTGAGTAATAAAGCACTGTTCAACAGTAATTAAAAAAAAAATAATATATATTAATATATATTAATACTGTCCAACAGTAATTTAAAAAAAAATAAGTAATATTTCAGCAACACTAGTAATACATTTGATGAAGGAAACGGACTTTCTCACAAATTTACCTAAATCTTCATATTTTGTTGTATAAAACATGAATATTATATGAAAGTTAAAATCGTTGATCTTAAATAAAACAAAAGTTATAAAGTGAAAAGTTATTAAAATGTGACTTAAATACTTCATCATTGTATAATGGTACAATCACTTCCACATAATTTTTTAACCAAGGTATTGTTTTTTTTTATTGATTCAATCATTACGGATAAATACTTTTCTAATTCTTCTTTATATAAGTTATTTGTTTCGTTATCATCAAAAACATCTAATAAAACTAATATTTGAGCAAATACACAAACAATTTCCTTATCTTTATTCTCCATTTTTACGTTCACAATTGCTTACAACAGCCAAAGGAAACGGTTTTGATCTTTTCGATGAATTCGCTTAGAAATCAAAGTAACCGGGCAAAAATAGCGCTCATAAGCGTGAGCGCTTTAAGTATGCGAGCGTCCAAAACGAATGCACCCATTGTAATAATACCTTGTAATAATACCATTGTAGTAATACCTTTTAAGGCTCCTGGCCTCGGAGCCGAGAACTCCGAATCGACCGCAGAGCCATAGTTAGCTGTGGTGAGAATCAGAACCTTATCCAGTGTAGCAACTACATGATAAATGCGATGAGGTTCTGTTCCATGCTACGACTGGTATGAGTTAAACAAAGACGGACAGCGAATATCTATCTGTCCTTGTCTGACTACTGGCGAGCTAACAATCGCGGCAGCAGACACGAGCCAGCAGCGATCTTCTCGCTTGCGCACACACATACACACACATATATACACATGATTCATTCTCTCACCCGTTCTTCTTTTCGCGCGATGCCTTACCTAGAAAGAAATATGTATGGAAACTTGGGATAACTCGTACCAATCCAAGTATCAGCGGGCACTTATAATAATTGTACTAATGTTTTTCTGAACGTCATATATAATAAAAATATAACAAAATTCTTAATATGATAAAATTTAATTAGGACAACGTATAGGTAACTAAGAAACTAAGAAACTTACAACTTTCCCAGATAGCACATGGAATTTAAAAAAAATTCAGTTATATGTTACGAATTCTCAATTGATTTTTAGGTGCAAAAAGAATTTTTTTCACTGACCTGTGAAGAATAAAATGTGAATATCTCACATGAGACAAGTTTTATGTTACAATTATGAATACATACTTTATAGACGAAGATTTGGTGAAAATTTATGGAATTAGAGCGATTAAAAAGTACATTTTCATCACTTTGAAATGTTTGTATTTTAAATATTGTCCAATTTTGTATTTTAAATATTTTTTAATATGGATAATTTACATTTTCTGAGACAATAAGCAAGATTCGTACAATCTTTAAACTGTCTTTGGATTTTTTTGCACTTGATGGATTACAGGAAAAAATATACAATTAGGCACACACATATACATATGCACACACACTCGCTTGGCATGATCTTGTTTACGTGAAAGTAATACGCAGCGGCTTTGCTGCGATAGAATGAACGAATTCCGTTTCATTCTGAAACGTTATTTGTATACTTTTAACATTAAAACCCGACTTTTATAACAAAATAAATAAGTATATTACATGAGGGAATCAGAATTATAAATTTTTTTCAAATAAATATAAAGTATTGTTTGATTCCTATTCAGTGATCAATTGACATTAAAAAAATACATTTAGCTCTGAATATAGAATATGGAATATGTCCAAAAAATGGGAAAAAGTACAGGTTAAGCGCTTAACAAATATTTTAATAAAAATTGATTCTTTCCATATTTGTACATTATTTTGTTACTCGTTACATATTCAATATTGAAGGTAAAAAGCGTTTTACACAGTTTATTGATCATTGAATAAGAATCTAACAATATTTTATATTTCTTATAAAAGAAATTAACAATTCTCATTCCCTCATGTGATGCATTTTTCATTTTTTAAAAAAAGTAGGCTTTTTGTGTTAAAGGTATGCTAATAACATGTTACGATTAAACGACATTCGTTTATTCTATCGCAGCAAAGCCGCTGCGTGCTGCTTTCACGCGTGAGCAGAATCATGCCAAGCGAGTGTGTGTGCATGTGTATACGCATGTGCTGAAATGTATATTTTTAATTACATATAATAAAGTAGCACGTATGAAAAACGTTATTTTATCAACAGTATTTCTGTAACATGTAACGCATAAAGTAATATACAGCATTGTTTACAAAATAGTTCGACGTCACACACACATATCGAATACGATATCAGTTACCCAATTTTTCCACACTGCAATATCCAGACTATTCTCTCTTCACAGGTACTTACACTTGACATCTTATTGCAGTACACACGGCGTGCAATCATACCAAACTATTAGATAATATCTAATTAACACTCTAATAGAAAGATATAAATGTACCCGTGTGCACATTATTTATATATATATGACATTAATACAGTCCTTAACATGTGCACACTGATCATGGATGCTTGTTGTTTAGTACAATACTAATAAAATATATTTATTTTATTAACACTATATTCTTCATAGTGTAAATATTTACTGCGCACAGCGCAGAACGCAGGTAGATAAGTCGAGCACATATTTCATTTGTACATTATAAAGTGCGTTAACAATAGAATGCATTGCTTTTATACTCGCTGCGCAAAGCGCAGAATGCATTGGTTATTTATTCGCTGCGCAAAGCGCAGAATGCATTGGTTATTTATTCGCTGCGCACAACGCAGAATGCATTGCTTTTTTATTCGCTGCGGACAACGCAGAATGCATTGCTTTTATACTCGCTGCGCAAAGCGCAGAATGCATTGCTTTTATACTCGCTGCGCAAAGCGCAGAATGCATTGGTTTTTTATTCGCTGCGCAAAGCGCAGAATGCATTGGTATTTTATTTGCTGCGCACAACGCAGAATGCATTGCTTTTTTATTTGCTGCGTACAACGCAGAATGCATTGCTTTTATGCTTGCTGCGCAAAGCGTCGAATGTATTGCTTTTATACTCCTTCAGCAAAGCGCAGAATGTAATTTTACTTTACTTACTTGAAATAACACTAAATTATATTTATAGCTTTGTATGTAACGTAGTATTTCATTATTATAAACGTTTCTCATTTATTTTTTCTATATGTTCTTATTGGTCTGTCTTTTCTTTTTCTTTCATCTTTCGCCTCTTTGCTTGAATGATATATTCCGGATCACGAATTGGCATGTTTCTCTCTACTCTTGGATCTAGTATTTCCGGTAGTACGCAATCTTCATAAAATTTCACAAGCTTTTCAACCATTTTTTCTGCCCAGAAAACATCATCACGCAAAATCTTTTCTATTTTTAATCCTAATGGTGTCCACAGTGCGAAAATGCAGTACTTACGCTGCGTGATATGTAATTGCCCTTGTATTTGATAATAATATATATGGTTACGTTTCATTTCCTCATCTTTTTCATTTTTATATAATGCTCGCAAATTCGATACATTAGCTGCAATTGCATCTTCAGGTGTTAAGAAACGTGCAGCATAAGGACACTTGATTTCCACAATTCCATCTTCTTGTATTAATCCATCGGGCGAAGCCCCTAAAAATGGTTTCTCGGAATCTATAAATAATCCGCAACGCTTTATGTCAATATTCAGTGCACTTTCTATGCTTTTACGTGCAACGTCTTCATATTCTATCCCATGTTGCACTGATTCGACATTTAATTCTTGGGGATATATAATACATTTTACTCTTGAAGTACAAGAGGTACTCTCTCTCATTTTACATATGTATCCGAAATGAGAAGCAGTTATCAATTTTTTGCGATAATATCGCCATATATTATTTTCTACTTGCTCTATAGTTTCTTGTTCAATTAATTCTCGCTTCCTTTGCCAATTTTGCAGCATATTCATGTGTTGCGCTTTTCTTAA